GGTCTGGGATTCCTGCGGGAGCACTGACGCTTTGTACCACGTCTCTGTGTCATAGTCAGCTGCTGATACAACTGTAGGTCCTTTGGGGATTGATTATCAAGTAAAGGTTTAAGAGAAGAAAAGGAAGAAAGAAGGTTGTGGCCCTGCCATTTAGCTTTACGCTGTTCAGCATTTGTTCCTGTTTATGTGATAAGGAAGTTACATGGCTGTGCTTCTTTCCAATGTTTGAGAAAGAACGCTTTGTTTCATGTCCCGTGAACTTAGGAAATATTAAGGTTCTGTGTACATTTGTATTCATACAACCGCTTCAGAATATAGGATTATTTACCTTTGAGAAGACTAATTAAAAAATATCCAAACACAAAAAAACCCCACCAAAAACCAAAGGCACCAAACAAAACTGAAAACCTTTAGCTTACCTTTAACTTTATTTTTTTTTTTGGGTAGTGCTGTCCCACTGCTGCAGCAATGCAGACGCTGCAAGTGCTGTTTCAGACACTGGGGGGAATGCTTGACTTGTCCTAATCTTGAGCCAATAATTGGTTCAAGATTCTATTTTGAACAGCTTTTAGCATATTGCTAAAATTAATGCTTATATACTGCTTCATATCTTAATTAGCAGTAAAAAAACAAAGTACACTTATGAAAGTACTTTTTGAAGGTGGATGATTGCTACTATTACTAGGGCTAGCTGATAGCATATTGTTGCCAAAATTCTGGGTGTGCATCTGACAATTTGTAGTGTACAGAGCTTAACTTCGTTGGGGAGACTCCAGACAAAGCTCGGAGAAGAGGCAGGCAAACGGTGCTTGCTGTCTTGAAGGGCCTGGCGCTAACGCTGTTGAAGTAAAATGCGGCTCTAGCACACATACGGTGTGTCCCTGCGTGTGTGTCTCTCTCATCATAACTCTGACATTTTTGCATGGCACATGAAATGGAGAGGAACAAGTTATCTGATTGTTATGTGGAACGACAATAGCTATTGAACCTGCCAAACAGGCATCCTGGTGATATTGGAAGTGTAGTCACTCATGTGTAGGAGTGACCTGGGAAAAATGGATTAATTCTGGTGGCTAGCTCTTGTCAGCTGTGGACTTCACAAGCTTGCAAGCCACACTGCTTGTGGATTCTTGTTTTTCAGTTGTGTAACTTCATATTGAGAAGTCAATACAGTATGCAGTTTGATGTATTAAAAAAAAATGGAGATGAGTTGAAAAACTGGGGTTATATATATATATATGTAACTGACACACCTGAACGTTGTTTTGCTTTTAGTTTTGCACTTAGGTGGTAAACTTCCCAGTCCTTTGGACTTAGGTGCAAATAATACTGAGCCTGCAGAGGTTTTTAAGTAATGGTTGCTTCCTTAAATAACCTTTTCAATCAATAGTTTACTTTTTAATTTTGAATCTGTCTGGACAGTCCAGCGTGGCAGTTAGGTAGGCTAAACAGCAGGGAAAATAGCTTTACTCTTTCTAACATGGAGTACTTTTCTACTCCTTCCCTCCTGTCCCCCAAGCTGATAGAGTGAACAGGGAAGAGGGGAGTGAGCTTCTAAACAAGCTTCCTTCCAGAAAAGATGAACCTTTATTTTCATGTCAGCAGTTCACCTGCTCTTCATATCTCAGATCCCAGTTAGATAGCTTTCTAGCTGCCTCTTTCAAAAGTAACTATTTATTTCACCAATTCAACGTTAGTTTGCGATAATTTCTACCTTCGGAACAGAGAACTGCCCATCTGGTTGCTATCCACTCTTTTTTGACTAACTTCCACTATTCCTGAATCCTTCACGTTCTTGACTGGTGCATTTTTCTGTCACCTAGATATTGTCAAAATCGCTTATTCTAGAAGGTGAGGAAGTGCTGGAGCAGAATACGAAAGGATAGTCCTGTCCTGAAAACCCAAAGCTAAATGTGTTGGGTGGTGTCTGCTGTTCGTGGCCCTGTGGAAGGTTTGACTGTTCCCCGTTCCTGTTGGATGCAAAGCTCATTTAATACCCACTGTTGTGTAGGGTTCTCTGCGTTTTGAAGTTTCCCATGACATGAGGTTAAGACAACGCTAGTGTTGAAGTAGAGGTGGCCCATGTCCTGGGAGGCCTCTCTGCGGAGCTGCAGCACGGTCTGTAATTTGGCGGGTGCTTACTGACTTCACCTTCCCTTTTACAGTAAAAGGACCTGTTTGTTTAACAGCCACCCTGTGTGATTTTTCAGTAGCAGAAATTCCGTATCTGGACTGTACGTGAAGCAATATTTCCAGTACTGTATTACTGCAGTGTTTAATGCTAGTTACATTATCTAGTAAATGAACACCAATAAAAAATACATCTAAGCTCCATGAAGCTCACAAATCCCATTGTGTACTTTTTAATAAAATCCTCAGGGCAGTATTGGAGCAGCCTACCTAATGATCCACCTTCCTGACTCTTCCTAACTTAAAGCCTGGAATATAAAAAGTGATTTAAATGCCATAGCATATTTGAAATCAAGCTGTCTTTCCATGGAGTACTCATGGCCTGAGGAAAATGTCACAGGGCTGCCTTCTCTTCTCACTGGGAGGTATGTTAAACTTACAACAGAAAATGTTGTTACGAGTGTAGATGTATATAATGAAAAACTATTTGTGAAGCCTAACCGCCTCTTCTTTTCTCTGAAATGTTCACCTGTAGAAGAGAGAAAAGGGATCCTTGAATTATAGCAGATTATTTTGACTCAGTCTGTACCTATTTGAGCGGATCTGTTGGAATAATGTGGTATACTGAGTGTAAATTTTCTAGATTATCAATTTGACACTGAAAAAAAGCTGTCAGCGTACGTGACTTCAGCCACAGATCAATTTTTGCTTGGCTGGGTTTGCTAGCGTGACCCAGTCTGGCACAGGAATGCTGACAGATGTAGGGGTTAACTTGTGCTGTAGCGCACAGGGTGACAAAGTCGTTCTTTGCCGAGGATTGTTAGTATCTGAAACAGATCAGCTGTACAATCACTGCAATAGATGGCCTGCGCTTTCCCTTTAAAGGTGTCTTTAACTGTGACTTCACCTGTGATCATGCGCTGTGTCTTTAAAGGTCATATACATTAGGTCCTTTTATTATTTACATCAGTGAAATGTTCCAATAGTAAGCAGGTAGCATACCTCATCTATTTTCTTGCGTTAATGTAGTATCACAGAATGTTCCTTGCTTATAAGCAACTAAGGAAATTGACTTTAAGAACTGTGTAAAGATGTATAATCCTCTCCATCTAACCTTTTTTTTCTTTTGCAGGAAGGGTTTCTCACCATGGCCATAACACAGTTTCGACTCTTTAAGATCTGCACTTGCCTGGCAGCAGTGCTTTCTTTCATTAAAAAGTTAATATGCAGGTAAACATGTCTTATCTAATTTGGTTACCTTTTCTTTTTTAATTACACATTCTTGCACTTCTTTCCTTCTCCCAACACCCACCCATCACTTTTCGCAGTTCTGATTTTACTAATTGCAAAACAATCAAGACAGATGAAAACTAAGTCAAATTCATTCTGTAATCTTTATATTCCTTCTGAGTTCAACAGTCTCTGTCCTGCTGTTGTGAGTGTGTTTTGCGGTAAGATCTCTCTGACGAGTATTTTCTAAACATCAGTGACAGGGTTCTAAAATTGCCTTTTAAAACTATCCTGTGTCAAACCTGAAGAAAATTTGTTCTCTGCCTGTTCTAGAAGTACTTTGCAAGTGGCATTTTTGGGTTTTTTTTAAGAGGTTCAGTTAATGGCAGCATTCACCCAGTCATCGGTCAGTAGCCTTTCATTATACATGTGATTCTCATCCTGCTTTTTCAAGAAGCAGTTGCCTGAGATTTCAGATTGTTCTGCCTATTGGACATTCTTTCACAAGTCTGGAGGACAGTGATTAAATTCAAGGGAACTTTTTTTTTTAATATGTTTGACTTGTTTCTACTTGCTCTTGTGAGTTATACTTAGTGTTCTTTTGAGTTGTAGCCCCATGAACACAGCAGTGTAGTACCTAGAAGCATTCAAAAAACCCTCAGGAGTTGTGGCTCTATAATACTAGAGTTTAGTAGTACAGTAGCAGAGTACCCAAGGCATATCATCTCATCACTGTGCTGTCGTTTGAACTACTGTTGCTTCTTGCCACTCTTACAGAATGTCGTTTTATGTAAACAAATAGCAATCTGAAGAAATGTATTCTCCTTTTGTGTATGATGACTACTGCTTTGCCAGTGAGGTTAAAGCATGTGCAGAAAATGTAGATGCAAAATAACTGTTTATTTCCTGTTCACCTTTACTCATGCAAGAAGAGGAAGCTCTCAACTGGTTGGTAAATTCATTACAGATCTCGTGGAGCTTTGAAAAGATACATTTTAATGCTGCATACAACTAGGGAGATGTCAACCTTAGTCCTGTGATTGGAATTCCAAATTAGACTAAGAATACTTGCTGTTCAAGTTCCAAAATAAGTCAAAACACCAAGCTGGTGATAGCTTCTATATTATGTGGACGCTTCATCATTTTAAGACTCTCTAAGTCTTAAAATAGCTTTTATAAGCAGATAATTGTTTAGTAGGTGTAATGACAGCATTTTCCTCAGTTTTTCAACTTTTGGATGAAATGAATCCTTGAAATGAACAGCTGGAGAACTGCTTAGGAGTAAAAAGAAGGAAAACTTTGCTTCTGTGAATAACAGTTAGTTGAACGAATGAAAATCTTTTACATGAGCAACTCAGTGGATCGAACTAGTTCAACTACAAGTGTTTCTCCTGGTTAATGTCAGGTGCAAAGCATAGCTTGATAAATGTTGTTCTCCTGTAATGCACCCCTGCATACAAGTGTACCTGATAGCCAGGAAATGTGATTTAATTAAATTAGCGTTTTAATTCAATGGATATGAGCTAGTATTATTTAGAGTATATAGTTTATACAAGTGCCTGTAGAGATCACACATCTTTCTAGTCAGTGTAAAGCCTTAAAACTTTTTTTGATAAACAGCCTGCCTGAATTCACTGTTTCCAAGAAACAAAAGGTGTAAGTATAAAAAGAGATGAAACTTCATTCTGTTTAAAATCTCGAGTTATTTTCTCCAGTTGAGTAGTCTGATGCTGCTAATTAGTAAGGAGAAACAAAACCAAGAATTCTTGAGGCGTTTGGAATTCAGAGCAGTGATCAATATCTGTCTAACAACGGTTGTGAAGCAGCTGTTCCTATAAAGGTCTTTTTCCCTTTGTAGAAAAAGTGGAGATATGTAGCCTTCCTCAGAATGTGTCCTGTGTAGCATGTTGTTTCCCATGTTGTGTGACAGGAGCTGTTTCCTCCCACCTTCACCCTGGTCAGTGTAATTATCTTGGCTAGATGCGTGTTTGTTATAAGCCACTTGCTGGAGTCTTCTAGATCATATTGATAGGGAAATACATGTAATTGCAGAAGTGATGACTTGGAGTAGTATTAAAGATATGTGTGTTGTACAGGTCTGAAGGAGGATGTTTCCAAGCTTGCATTTCCTTTAGAGACATGAACTAAATCTAGTTGGCCAGAACCAAACGTCGCTAATGTGTTTGAGGGAGCAGTGTTTTCACCTTCCTGTACCTCTAAACTGTTTGTTTTCATCTTAAAGGAACAGTTTAAAGGGGCTAGAGTTAATTATACAAAGCTTGAAAATATGATAATTGCACCTGACTGTACCTAAGGAAGAATCTATTAGGCTTAAAGTAGGAAAAATATATCCAATCCCTCACCAGCATGGAGCAGAGGTGGTATTGCAAGCAATTCAGCTATTCCGAGTTGATGGTAGAATGTTCTAGAACAGTAAAACTAATGGATGCAAATTCCAAACTGTAGTTTTCCAGTTGTAGTCTCATCAGTAGCAATAAATGAAACTTAACTTTTCCATGCTGCTTAAGGTCAATTGCGTGACTATCTTGCTATAGAAGCTTACATTCCTTGGGGAGAACATGAGCATGAGCCTGAATTTCGTTCTCTTGTGTTGTAAGGTTTTAAAATACAGAGAATGTCAGCTGAGAATATTTTAATTATTTTTGTCATCTTTGAGCGCTGTCATTAAGTAAATATGTAGGTGGTTTATTTGCAATGCACTAGTGTTTGTTTTTAATTAAAATTATATAGTTGCTGAAATGCTTCAATTGAAATAGTATTATTTAGGTAGAAACATGTATTGAACGGAAGGTGTTGACTCACATAACCTTGTATTACCTCTGTTTAGACTTTGAGGGAAAAAGGGCTTTAGCGGGACTTTCAAATCCAGCAGCTCAAAATTATTTGTTAGGCACTGCTTAACATCTAAGACAAGTAGAAAGATTTCTCTGCTTACAGTAGAAATGGTTATCTTTGAACAAACATAGACCAATAGTGTTTCCTTCAGAAGCACGGATAATCCTGAAATTGTATCTGACTGTATGCAAATAACTGAGTTAATTTGTCCATTTTCATATTTCTTAGAGTTGCTTCTCCTCTATTTTTGCTATCGTTTGAAAAGTAAATTGCACTTTGAAATTCTTGTGAACACCACTTTAAATTCATGATAAAATGCCTTCGTTTAGCAGACTTTTACTGGCAGTAGTTAACATTAAGGTAGTTCAAGCACTTACTATTTTAGCCATGACTATTTTCAGTAGTGCTGTTCTCAGACTTCCTTTTTGTTTTCTTTTAAACTTAGTGCTCATGTTTTCAGAGCTTGGAGGAATCCTACATTTTTTTTTCAGGTCTGGAAGAGGGCGAAAGTTAAGTGGAGACCAAATAACTTTGCCAACCACAGTGGATTATTCATCTGTTCCTAAACAGGTAATTGCTTAAGTGCTAAGTGACATAACCACTCTGAATATCTGCTATACTAGTCCTACAGCAGGATTGGTATATATCTTAGAAAGATATTATTATATGTGCTATATAATATTAAGTATCTATCTTAGCAAGATATAAGAAGACAACTTTTTACTTGCAGATAATATTAACTTGTACCATATACATCTATTCAGACAGAAGTAGAAGACTGGTCTTCATGGGATGAAGATGCGCCTACCAGTGTGAAGATTGAAGGTGGTAATGGTAATGTGGCTGCTCAGCAAAATCCTTTGGAACAAATGGAACCCGATTATTTCAAAGATATGACACCAACTATAAGAAAAACTCAAAAAGTAGGTATTATTGCACTTTCAACTATACTTCCGGAGTTTTCCATGCTTTAAAATAGTCTGTAACTAAATTGGCAATTTATACAAGGTGCTTCTGGTAAAACTAAGCTGTCCTACTGAAATTAGAATAGGTGCTGAGGTCTAGTCTAACATGTTCAATTAAAAATACTGACTCTGAGATCTTACCAAATGTGATGTTAGTTCATGTTTACATCTTCAGTCTCAGAAAACAATGGTTACTTGTTTCACCAAGTTATAGTGGGGAGGCTGGAATTAGGGAGCTGATATTTCAAAACAGCTTGCTCTTCAAATGTCTGTTTTCATTATGGAGACAAGACAGAAGGGCATATCCACAAAAGCATCAACACTTGTAAAGAAATGCTAATTACTCTTCTGGTAACTAGAAGTTTTGTTTCTCTCTGGAAATCTTTGAGCTGGGTACTTAGCAGGGCTTTGAGTCAGTTGGAAAACCTTTTTCACAACGAAGGCAGTCAAACACTGGAACAGGTTACCAGAAAGGTTGTGCAGGCTCCATCTCTGAAAGTTTTCACTACCCAAGTGGATAAGCCCTGAGTACCTTCATCAGCCTCAGAGCTGGCAGCTATTTGAGGAGCATGTTGGATTTCAGACCTCCTGAGGCCCCTTCCGGCCTGAACCTTCCTGCGGCCCCTTCGTGAACTGGAGATGATATTGGGGTCAGTTTTCTGTACATTCAGGATTTGCAGTATTCTGTGGACTAAATTCTTCTAAGGATTTTGGTCTCCCAAAATCTGGGGGGCAGAGGAGGACTGGGGAGAGGTAGATTTCTCCTTTGTATCTAATGATGTTTTTTACCTAATAGATTGAGCTTCAGGTACAGAACAAAGCTTGGAGTCTGTACTGTTTGAATACTGCATATTGGGTTTAGTTCAAACATATCTCTAGGGAGGACTGCAGGCACCCTAAAGAACGTTCCTGCTAGCTTGGCCTTGTTACCACCCTTAAGTATGAATTTGTATTTGTGTTTGCACTGAATCTGGGCTCAATATGAATCCCAAGATCTGAGGTGCAATCTATAGTGTTACTGCTCATATCTACAATGTCTGGAAGTGGAACTTCAGTCAAATAGCAGAGTCTGTCATTGCAAATAAGATGGTCTAGTCCTGTTTCCTTTCTTGCATTGGTACAGTCGGTGGAACAGCAAATCTGCCTCTTTTGGAAGAGACTTAACGTAGGCTGAACGAAATAAGCAATTAAGTTCATATCTTGAGGTCAAGACAAATAAGGGATATGTGATCTTACCAACCATGTTCAATTTGCTAATAAGCCTTTTAGGAGAATCATTGGTGCCTATTTTTCAACCAAATCAGTACAGAGCTTTACCAGTTGATGTGATAGTGAATTACCTTTCAACTGCTGAAACTTAATCTGTCTGCATGGATATGCTATTGAAGTAGCTTGGAGAGCTCATGTTCCAGAGCAGTACAGCTGTGCAGCCAGCACTGTCCTCAAGAGGACTATCTTACAGTGACCTATTGTGGAAGCAGGGTTTCTCCAAGGAAAATGTCATGTAATTGGTAGCTTATTGTGATTACTCGGAGTTGTGGCTATTTGATCTGTAATTCTTTGTGGCCTTTCTGTCTGGATACAGTCGTAGGTTTTCCTGTGACAACAAAAAGCAAGTGGAGGGGGGGGGGCGGGGAGGAGAGTTCTTGTGTCTTTTGCATTTAGCTTCTCTGACTTACCTGTTCCTTTGGCTGTCCAGCTTCCAGAACCTGAGCAGGTTGGAGACGCAGTATGGTGTTGTGTAGCTTTACCTTCACAGGCACGGAGTTATATGATCACCAAGGAATCTGTGCAGTGCTTTGACTTAACACTTTTCATTCCTGTTTTTGAATATTTTCAGATAGTTATTAAAAAAAGAGAGCCTTTAAATTTTGGGATTCCAGAGGGAAACACAGGATTCTCTAGCAGATTAGCAGCTACACAAGATATTCCTTTTATTCATCAGTCTGTAAGTATGCTCTAAGTATTGATCTTGTATTTGACAGCTAAATGACTGTTCTGTAGGAGCAGGAATACTCTACCTAAGGTCTGCATTGTGAGGAGCAAGAGGAACAGTTGTGGAATAATCTAAATTGTTTTAAAATTGAGTATTTTGTTCAAAGTAGTTAGTAGTTAATCTAATTTTAACTAATTTATTCTACTGAGAAACTTAACAGATCAGTGATTAAAAAGGTAAGATGCTTCCAAACACTTGTATACCTGCAAATCTTCTAAAGCAACGGACTACATTTTTTTTGTATTCTACACAGTAAGGTCCTAACAAAAGAGTAGGCTTTTTTTAAAGCCTCTGGGTTGCCTTTATTATCTTGGACCCATTTTTAGCTTTCTCTTTCTTCCTTCCTTTCTTTAGGGATTGTATTCTAACAGTCTCCTAATTTTTGCCCTTTAGCCTTTGAAAAAATAGTCTAGTTACCTAATAGCCTGAGTGTTTAGAAGGAGATGTTCTCTCTCCCCCTGTGCCTTCTGGAACAACACTTCTGCTTTGATGAATATAGTGCACGAAAGGGTCTAGGCAGAAAGCAGCACAGACTGGTCATACCACTTCCTTAGACTGTCCATAATGAAAATAATTCAGGAAAGGACTTGTGAGTAAAAAGCAGCACTCGAGTGATATTGTACATCCACATGTTGGTGTGTCCATGTTGGTTTGTCCGTGCAATTTCCAGAAATCTTCTCCACTATCTACCATCAACTTACCTTCTCCTTCCTAAAAATGCACTTCAGTACTTCCTTCCTTCCTTCAATACCAGCCAATAGAATCCAAAAAACTATCCAACAATTAACTGGAAAAAGTTGATATTATAGCAGGGACAGACATGTGGACAACCAGTTGAGAAGCAGTCATATCTCAAATATCTCTGGAAGTCTGAAGCATCAAAGTTAAAAATAAGTGTTTTATCAATTTTTCCATGTACTTAGAGCTTTTCTTCTTTTGTTTTAGCCTGAATTGGGAGACTTGGATACTTGGCCAGAAAATACCAATGCTTGGGAAGAAGAGGAAGATGCTGCCTGGCAAGCAGAAGAAGTTCTTAGGTAACTGAAAATAATGTAACACCATGTGAATTTTCAAATGTAAAAGAATTAAATACAGGTTTGTTTGTTGCAATACCTTTCTGGTAAGTGTTGAGAATTGTTAAACAATTCTTAAGACAAATTGTTTTTATGCATCTAATCTCTATGTACACTTGGCAGAATACGTTTTGGATCCAGTCAGTTTAGTAGGTGAGATAGTGGGGGGAATCTCAGAATCACTGAACACACATTAAGCTCTCTCCAGAAAAGATAAAACCCCCCCCCCCCCCAATTTATTATGTACAAATAACATGTTTTAACTTCATTAAGTAAAATAGCAGTGAATAATACCCTTATAAAAAGGATCATGATCATGCTGTAAAGTAAAAATAGTTCAGCGTAGAAGGTGAAGTTATAAGTATGTTCTTGGAATCCTCATAGGTAGGAGCCATGTTTTTCTAGCTACCTTACTAAACTAGCTGATAAGGCTTTAATGTAAAATCAGCATCTTGCACAAAGTTAACATGAGTACTTCATCTCTTCCATTTGTGTTTTTTTTTTTTTCTCCTAAGAACACAGGGAAGGAGTATGAAGGGTAAAGAGATGCAGATTGAGTTTAAGCTAATCACATTTGAATTGGCAGTGACTTATGTTAACCTGTTTAATTTCAAGGTTTTATCAAACTTTAATCGCTTGCTACATCATCAGATAACCTGCCTCAGGTGGCTCCAGATTCCTAAACTGCTCTCATTCAGCTCACGAAATCACAAGTAAATGACTGCAGTAAGACAATAGTGGTAATACGAAATAAGGACATGATATATTAAAAAAAATCATTCTAGAGCTGGGACTCTTTAAAGGAAAAAAAGGTATTTTAAAAAAAATATATATTCTCGTCAACTATTTATTATAATTTGGGAAAATTTACTTTTTTTCAACCAGTAGAATAAGAAGGGAAGTCATCAGCAGACTTTAGATGCGCTAATGATAAGACATTCAACCAATTCTAATTCTATCAGTCTTGCTCTGCAGCAGCTTAACATGTGAGAATAGGGTTGTAATGCAAGTATTTTTGTAAACTTAATTGGATATCTGTATGTGTACATTCTGGTCAATATCTTGGTTTTTTTTTAACTTCAGGGCTTTTCTTTCACTAGTGTATCACAGAAGTACAAGCTTTGTGATATGAATGACGTGCCTTTGGGCTGGTTTTGTTCCAGGGATAGCACCTTTTCCCATAAAGAGTATCAGCAGGCTCAGTAAAAGTGCACTCTGCTGAGATGTAATCTATGATGCATCAGACAAAGAAAATGAAAGGCAATGAAAAATACTGCTTTTTTGAACTGAGAAAATAAATTACTACTTTTGTTAACTGCAGAGACCACGTTGTACTTTACTTATCACTTACCATATTCCATTACAGATGCTTTTAGGACTCAAATACTCAAACTTTCTGAAGCAGGGACTTGTCTTATACAAATTAGCTACTAAAAATAAGCTGGTGTGTGCATATGCCAGTTTATTTCAGGAGTGTAAAACTTGTGTAGTGGATATTCCCAGATGGTCAAGGGCATATCGTCTGCCAGTTGGGGTTCATGGTCTAGAATTCTTGGTAAGAGAGATCTCTCACATGGGAATAGCAGTGGGATTTTCCCACAAACTCCATTTTTCAAAGTGTCATCTTACTTGGTTGAAGCTGTTGTAAAGGTTTCAGCCTGGCATCTTTGCTGTTGAAAGGCATCAGCTCCAGTGGTTAATTTTCACAGAATTCCTCCCTGGCCCCACTAGAAAGTATCAAACTTTACTTGTTTTGAAAGGAATGTGTATGTGTCCAAATATTTCAAGTGAATAGAAGGAACATGATCAGAACTGTAACTGTACTGCATGCTGCTTAGCCAGCTGTGAATGGCTGCCTCAGCACAGCTGATTGTTGTGCAAGCTCTGTGCCAGCTGTGTGAAGTAAAACCTTTGGTTTATTTGTGACACATCAAATTACGATGTTTTTCTGTAATTGAGGAAAGCAATGGCTGATTTTTATCAAGATTGATAGGAAATACTATCTGGGTTTACAGTTTCTCTTGCAGCATACATTGTGGTGTAATTAACTTCTGACATTTAGCATAAAACTGAAGTCTAGTACTTGACAGGACTGGCTCTGTTTTCACCAGACCATAGTAAAGAAGCGTTACAGAGTCTCTTCTTAGTGCTAGAAGACTTCATCTTGGTCCAGAAAATGATCTGAAGACTTCAGACTGATAAATGGGGGGCGAAGTGCTCCTAACCCTGCCTCTAACCCTCCAGAGCGTTAATGCTGACTCTGCTTCAGCAGTGCTTACCGAGGGTGAAATGAGTGTGCAGAAAAGTAAGGATCTCCCTTGGTTAGCTGTGTCTGGGTACCTGCTGGTGCTCCGTTGGTACGCACACGTGTCTTAGACTTGAATAACTTTTGGTTAGTAATGGAGTGCTGATCAGTCATGCAAAAATGAGCTGTGGCCAGCTACATAGCAGAGAAGATTTATCCTGTGGCCTCTCTGGTGACTTAACACGGATGTGTGACAGTGGAAAGAAGCATGTCGAGTAAGCCAAATGCTTCTGGAATCAAAGCGTGCTGAAAGACAGTGCTGGGGAGGAGGCTACTTGTGCCTGAGAAGTTCCTGTAATCTTTTTTTTTTTTTTCACACACCCCAGCAGGTTCTGGGCTGAGATGCACTTAAACTTTGCAGTGGTGAATCGGCATGGTGGATGATAAACTGGATTTTCAGTTAATTGAAGATAGAATTTGGTTTCTTCTGCAAAGCGTAGACATCTATCTGCACCTTTAGACTTTCTAATACCAATGAAATTTTTTTCCCAGTGAGAACGCTGGATAAAACGCTGGTGCATTTTTGATTGTGTTGAAGTAAAAGACCAAGTGGTATGAAATCATTCTTATTACAGTTATTCAGTATGTGTGCAGTAAATAAAAACATCCTGGAATGAGAACACCTGCTACCTGTTTTCTGATTATAATTAATGTTCTGCTAACCACTGAGGGGGGTTTAGGTCTTTTGGACATAACTTGTGTTGGTAAGGCAAAGTGAGGTTGACATCAGGAATGAATCCTTCTCAGGGTTAAAGAGCTTACATCATTCCATGCAAACTCTGCTGAACTCCTTGCCTTGGAACCCAGAAAAAGTGAATCAGATACGGCTGCAGCTTGTGACAGGCTCTTCCTTTATGGAGAAATTAAACCTTTCTGAGCCTAAAGGGTAGTAAGTTTATGTTGAAAACATTCAGGAAGCTTGGAATAGAGATCAATGTTTTGAATAATGACGAAGTACGAGAGCAGTGCAAAGGTAATCACTTTGTGGTAAGCTACTTCCTTGTGTTTTTTGGTGACTTCAGTTCTTGAGGTGAAGGTCTCTTCTCATTTGGGCATAGCTGAAGTCTAATAAAATTACTCAACCAGTAGAAGGCATGGAAACCACTCCTCTGTGCAGAGGAGTTCTGTGTCGGGGGGCTTATAAGGGGGAAAAGAAACACGATCTGCTCTGACTTTCCGCACTTGAGAATTGCAGATGAATAGCAGCGTTGCTTAACACCTCACATGGCTTTTTGGAACTCTGTCTCTACGTGCTGGCTGGTGTACATAGAGCTGCTTCCTTTCTGCATCAGTTCAGACGTGTGGGGAATATAAGAAAATCTGCTGCTGTAAAGTGGCAAACATTACTCTGCATGTGCTGGACTGACAGTGCTGTCAACTATCTGGCTTTCTGGTGGAATGTAGAATAGCGGGTCATGATGTCAAAAAAAAAAACTTTGGGCTTCCATTAACTTGGGAGGTAGATCCTGGTGTGAGTGATTGTGACTGTGTCTGTCTGTGACAGACAGCAAAGCAGCTTACCAGAGTGTAAGAAAACTTCTACCCATCAATAGTCAGTCCAGGGAAACAATGAAGGTGGTAAGTGCAGTCCCTCTCCTCTCCAATACAAAGATGATACATAGTCTTTGTACCTCAGATGTTGTCCATGGTTGGAATCTACCAAAGAAGGTTGCTGCAGGTGATGATAGTTTTTAATTCTGTATGTTTTACAGCTTAAGTGGATGTGCACAGGTGATTTAGATACCTCTGGAGTTAACTCCTTACTGCCTGGTCAATGAGAAGTCTTTATTCTCTTTTAATAAGCAATTCTTTATTCTTAATGAATCTGTGTTAATTTTCACCTTTTGAAGGTAATGAAGCTTCATTTTCTTATTTTTAAAGTCCTCTTTCAATCAACTTAGTAGATTTTTCCTATCTAATAAACTGAATCCAAAGCAGGAGTGACCCCCTTATGTCATTCTGTGGCTACTTACCAAATACAGTTGAGAGCTGCAATATGCCACTGGGAGTACAGATCCGTGTGGCCCCTGCACCGCTCAAGTTACGTGTTCTAGCTGAAGCAGGGGAACAAAATGGGTGGATTCTTGTGTTGGTTTTTTCCCTTCACTCTAGTCAGCTATGTTATTTGTTGAAATTGGAAACCTATTTCTGTAGACAGATTCTCTGAGCTAGCAGATAGTGATGTTTGGGATTTTATAGCAGTGATTAGAAATAATGCTAAAGGGATATACAACTGAAGACTTTTAAATTATTTATTTCCTTAAAGGCTCTTGTTTATATTTTTACTGAACAATAGAGTACAATACAGATACTGAACACCTGAAAGGGGGATATTGGAAGTTATCTAATCATGAGGAAAATGTTTGTAGTACTTGCATTACGAAGAGGATAACTACTGATGCCTCTGCTGAGGGAGGGAGTGGGGACACAAGTCAGTGTTCTATACAAGTCAAACTGCTCTGGTCTGAATTTGGAAAGATGGTAATCTTACTACTCAAAGTATTAGATTATTTTTTTTCCTAAATGGCTCTAGGCCTTATAACTGTCATACACTCTCACTAATTCACTTACTCTGAATATTTGAGAATTGAGTGGCTTTTAGATTGTAAAATATTTGAACAAATATTACTGCCTAAGACTAGATTAATCTGTAAAAAAGAGTACTTCAGTACAAGGAAAGAATAACTCTTCTGAGCCTAACTACAGCAGACTGAAGCTCTGTTTTTATTAGTTATAACAACATATTTATTGACAGGGACTTAAAATATGACTATGCAGAAAATTGTATTCCTGTTACTAAGCAATGAATGTTTTCTTTAATTACAGACAACAGAAGATAGCAGAAAGGGAAAAAAGAGCAGCAGAACAACAACGAAAGAAAATGGAGAAAGAGGCCCAAAGGCTAATGAAAAAGGAACAAAACAAAATTGGTGTAAAACTGTCCTAACAGAAACCAGGCATCAATGGCAGTGCCAGCAAAAAAGAGAATTTCAGCTCTACAGCATATATATTGGTATTGATTTAAGTATTTTTAGAACTTCAACAAACTACTTGATTTCCATGCATTCTTCAGGTCATCTTGGAAGCCAGGATTCTCCCAAAACATGTTGAACTACTAGTAGGTGGTTCTCAAAGAAGGAAAAAAACCACAGAAAATCATGCCTTGATGGAATTATGTTTCCAGGACCCTTTTCTGCAGCAAAAGTGATTGAGCAAGGATGTTGATTGAAAGACACTCTTAATGAACAGCTCAAGAGAGCCTAGAGAAAAGAATGTAAATATTTAGTGGTGGGAAATCTATATGGTCTGTGCTTACCTGAAACATGTAATTAAACAGTTTTAAAGAACCCTTTGCTTCCTGCCTGGTAAAGAATGTCTGCTTTTGCCTTTTTATACAATTTTTTATAAATACTTCACAGGTTTCTGTGGGAGATCATATCAACCTGTGCAGAAGTAAATTACTTTTTATGGATGACCTGTAACTCTAAGTGTAGTCCTGATAGAATATGCTATGGTAGAGCATCCTATAGTAGAGTGCAAGTTACAGCTGAACACTACAGTGGATTTCTTGTCCCTTTGTCACCTGCAGCTCCCTGTGCTACCATGCCCATTTACAACTCTGCCGTGGCCACCAGCAGTGGCATCACTACACAACAGTGGTTCATGCTGCTCCCTTCTTATGAAGGCTGACATTGTGAACATAGGGGAGCAATTTAATCCCTTACTTGTATTGGTGAATTTCTATTTCTAGCAAAAATTCTTTTAATTCCTCCAGTTAGGAAAAAAAAATCCTTACACTTTATCTTGTTGTGTAGGCAGTGTAATTAAAAAAAAAAAAAGTGTCCTCCTGTTAATAAAGCTAGTGTGAAAATTCTCAGTTAACAGCACTCTCAGATTCCATTTGTGTACACTCACTGTGTGTATTTACAGTGGAATTCCTCTGGGAAAAGTGTGCTAGGTAAATATGCAGTAGGAGACAACAGTGCTTTAATGAAGAAGAAAAGTTTAATGTCTGCTGGAAGGAAAGGTGTACGGGAAGAGAGTCCATGTGGTTCTTGTGTCCAGCTCAGAGCTTCAGTGAATACCTTCTCCATCATCTGTAGTGTGGATGCTGTTATCCTGGGGTTGTATGGGTTTCTTACCTTCTGACAGAGGAGTGAAGACAGCACATTCTGTGCCTCAGACTTGTTCCCTCTGCGTACAGGGAACAGTGAAGTTGTAAAAGAATGGGAAGAGATGGGGGGGCTATCTAACTACGTTATCTCTGCCTAGAAAAACAGACTTTTTAACCAAGTTGTAAGTAGATTCTGACACAAGTTTTGCTTAAAAGCAATTGAGAAAGAAAGACGGTAAGAATTACCTTTAATGGCCTTAGTAATGGAGAAAAGTTATTTTTTAAAATGCTAAGTACACTTATATCACTTAAAATCTTGCACAAGTCAACGGGTTTGACAGCAGTTTTCAGCTGTGAAAGAAGTTTTTGAGAAATGCTACATTTTAAAATACACTTTAGAAGGCAACAGTGTGCACTTTTGTGCGTATTTTCTGCACCACTCTTCTGGCGGGAGTAGAATGGATGACTGCAGTCTGTGCAGACTCCACAGTGGCGTAGCAAGCAGCTCTGCTCCTAGTACACACCTCTGACATATCAGATGGTGGGTGGGAGATAAGGAGAACTGCTGTGAATAGACTTTAATAATGATCCATGTCTGTCCTCCCCGCAGCAAGGAAGGGAGTAGGTACAAGTCATAGTTCTTTCACTGCTGCTTACACAGGGCGGGGAAACCTCCCGTCTATTGCCTGTTGAAGGTAAAACCTGTTGGAAGCTGCATCTCATATTTTAAAAAAATACTTTAGAGCTTACTGTTGCTATTTCTGAGACTGTAAAATAGATGCAAATAAATACTATTTATTAAAAATAACAAAACAGGGGCTAGCTAATAAAAACTTAGAAACAAAGGCTCTGAATGCATCAGGAGAGCACATGTTTTTAAGCCTCCAGCCATTTTAAAAACTGGTAGGTGCTGCCACTCCCTTGCATGTCAGCGCTCCTGCATTGCTTTTCCCTCTCCCACATGCTGCTTTGGTGTCCGTCCCTCCATCTGCCTGTACCTGAGCGCAGCGGCTCCCGGCTCCTGTACCGTGTGCTGACATGGTGACAGCAAGAACACAGTGCTCCTAGAGGTGGCATCTTCCAAATGAAAACTCCGTGTACTGGTACCTGTTTCATCTTTTTCCTGTGCTGTATCTTCTTTCCTCCTTCCTATATCTTGATTTTTATCCTCAACAAATGTGAAAACATTTTTGCTAAACCTTTTGTGTAGCTGCTGCTCCATAATAATCTTTTCCCTTGGTTTGAGTTTCTCGAGGGATCTCGTACACCCACCGTCCATGCTTGTTTTCTTCCTGTCCTGCTGCTGTAGGCTCCTCTTTTTCCCTCTCATACTTGGCCAGTCACTGTCTTTTTCTTCACTGAAGGCTAGCCGTCATTACCTTCACTGTTATTCTTGACTACAGAGGATCGACCTGCCAGGACTGAAAACATCATCCTTTCCTGGGCTGTGCTGTGGTTGCTCATGTTTGCAACGTCCCGTGTTCATCTGTCTGAAGGGTTGGGGAGCAAAACCCTTGCTTGTTCTTCTCGTGTAAGACAAACATAAAACAGTGCTTTCGTTTTACTGTGTTTGTGGAATTTAGCAGAGGTAGGCATTTGGGGGAAACAAGGAGAAATGAGGGACTGAAAGTTAAGAACAGCCTTGTGGGAGGGTGGTCATCAGTAAGGCTACATCTCTGGAGGGGAGGGGGACACTGCTTGTGCCTCAACGTTTTCAGCCCCTCAGGGGCATGTTGGGTAGTTCTTAAGCTGAATATTAAAGAAGGGCTGCTTTGTTCCTGGGTTAGAAAGGAAAATGAGCAGCGGGGTTATCAACAAGCGTTGCTTCAGCCCTGGGAGGAGCTGACTTGGTTCCTGCGCTAGCAGCACAAACCCCAGCACACAGACATCTGCTCTTACCCTTCAGCCTCTGAGCCGCGTGTCCTCCTCCCCACTGGGGAAATGCAAGGGTTGCCTAAGAGCTTTTAGGGTTTGGGGGGGAAGAGCACCCCGCAGCATGCATTCGCCCGCCCCTTAGTGCGAGGGCTCTCAGCCGGGAGGAGTGTCGGTGGCAGGTGTCCCTTGCCGCGGGGAGGACCTTGTGTCGCAGACCTGTTGCTCCAGGGAGGACTCCAGGAGGCCACCAGCAGGGATACATCAATACCCAAGGTGGACGGGGGCTCGTGTATACTCCTAAGGGCCCTTCCTGGGTGGAGCGGTCTCCAAGGTGTCCTCTTGGGCTGAGGGGGTCTCCCCGGTGTAGGTGACCCCCCAGGTGGTGGCACCCGCTCCCCTCTGCCGTGCTGCTGGGCCAGCTCCTGGGGGCAGAATGCTCCTGCCACAGTCTGCGAGGTGACACTGCCCTCCTCTGATCTGTGCGCAGACCCCAAGGTTTGGACCCGGAGGACTGGTGGTTTGGTGGTCCCAGTGGCACCTCGATGTGCACGCTGAGACTGCCTGGCTCGTGGCTGGGGTAAACGAGGCCGCCTGGGCTCCCGTGCCAGCGGGACTGGTGCTCTCCTGGCAGTGCAGAAAGGAGAAGATCCCAGCTCTAGAGGATCGCAGGGGGTTACAGATTGGGTCACTTGTAGTGGGTGACGCCGTGTGTGTGCAGCAGAGTGGGGGGTGTGCGCACCCACAGACCGACTGGAGCCTTCTCCTCTGGCTGAGTGCTTACGCTGGGAGCTGCACTTGGGTCTCCTCAGTCTAACCTTGTTCTCTGGGTCCTGATGGTTCCTTGTGCTCAGCCTGTGCCTCGCAGCTCAGCTGAGACAGGGTGTTTTTATAGCCCTGCTACAACAAAACACTCACACACCATTAACATTTCTAACATGCTTTACTGAACTTGTGATTATAAAGGTAATTTACAGTAAAACAATTAAATAAACAATAAGTTAAAACACAATACATTTATACACAGTATTTCAAAGGACTCCAATGACTATCAGGTTCCAATACATTAAGACTTTAAAACAACATTAATATTCAATGTGTATCCACACCTCCACTTATCATTATAACATGTCTCAAGACTCCCGACAACATACATTTTTGGTTGCAGTCCCCCTATACACACAAGACCAGTGAAATGCTGAAGCAATTGTGCGATTGAGAAGAGCACTGCACGAGACAGGCACGAACGATGTGCTGGAAGCTGCCTGGGGAATGCGGGTGTCACCTCTAAACTGAATTCACACTTCAGACAACAAATGGAAAGCGCTAGCATGCCTTCTGGATACAGCGGGAACCAGTCTCCCTGTCAGCCACCCAACGCTGGAGTTTCACCGATGTTTTCGGTTGGGGCTGCCTAAAGAAGCACCCCCGTTCCTCCGGCCCTTTGCTCCGGTGCGCATCTCACGCTGCCCTGGAGCCAGCGCAAAGTGCTCGTACGTCTGCTCTGTGAACCAGCCAGGGAAACCGAGACTAACAGTAACCCAGCACACACACACACGAGTGCTAGCTGTCGATCTCCCTGATCTCCCTGGTCATGTTCACCGTGCAGATGTGCTGGCACCAGAAAGAAACCAGCCCGGGCGAGGGACACGGTGCCTGGGCACAGGAGGACTGTTTCTGTAGGCAGCAGTTCTGTTGAAAACAACAGCTAAAAACATCTTGTGGAACTACAGAGCTCAGCTTTTTCATTCTGAAACAAGGAACATTTTCAAACCGATTTATAGTGCAAATCAAATAGTCAAAAGCAAAATTAGGGACTCTGCCAGAATATACAGTAACTTTTTAGGCTCTGTCTCGTCCCTCTTTCTCTCTGCCTTGGACAGCTGGTGCCCAGGGACAGAGTGGACTTTAGGTTTTGATATTGAAGGGTGTATGGCGCAAAGAGTGCAGGGCCACCAGGCAGCAACCACGAAGCAACGCTCCGATATTGTAAATGGGATCTGTGCCTCCTCTCTGAGTGCTGAACACCCACATGATGGTTGGTACAACAGGGGCTGCTACAGCCAGAACATCTCTGAGAAGACTGCTGCTCCAGTATCTCCTCTTTATGCCTGTCTGAGAGAAAGTACGGATACACCCAAAGGCTTCATCATCATGAGGTTCTGTAAAATCAAGTTCTTTCATGAAACGGTTTTCATTGACTCTGTGCTCCACTTCCCTGCACGGAGACTCCACAGGAGACAAAAGGATGGCAGAGTTTGGATCACTTGGAGTTAAGTCCACTATGATACCGGAATCACTGAGGCTCCCAAGAGAAAATTCACCCAATTCCTTCAGTGAAGAAGGTGGGCTTAGAGGACGGGCATCTTGAGCTCTGAAGATATTTTGGATGAGCTGCTCCACATCTAGGCTATATGGCACCACATCAGTTTGGATGGCCTGTTCCACCGTCATGGTGCTGCTTTCCTCCTCATCGAGAACACTGTCGAGCATCTCTTTATTCACAGCAGGGCTGGAGGGAGATGGATCACTCAGCTCAGAAGCTGTGGTGAGCAAACTCTCTTCAGATGAGGCAGTCCCGTTAGCTGTGTCCGAATTGAGAAGCAGCCCGCTATCTGCCACCTCCTCCAGAGCCTGGTCCTCTGTGCTGAGGCTGTCTGGCATCGCGGCGCACAGTGACAGCAGCTTCCCCTCCGACTCACACGTGTGCTCCAGGCATTGCTCATCCCCCACAGAGCTGCTCTGAGGCATCTCCATGCTCTGCAGCAAAGATTCCAGTTTCTTGTTTTGAATGTTTATGTCTACAAAGTATTTCTGAATTTTTTTGTCTTTCTCAGCCAAGCTGTTTTTCATAGTTTCAATAACGTGCTTGAGTTGTTTAATTTCGCTTCTTGCTTCCTTTAAGGACAGCTCTGCCTCCACACGGTTACACTCCTCTTCAATCCAGTCCTCCCTCATCCGTACCAGCTGAGATTTGAGCTCTTCCATTTCTGTTTCCCTGTAGCAAAATAAAAACGTTGTATCACTTCTGCTGACTGCTCAGTAAAGAGTCAACGCGGGGCTCCGCCGCGCTGGGATGGCTCTGCTGCAGAGATGCTCCAAGGACGAAGCAAATTCCTCCTGCAGCGTGTGCCGCTGCCTCTGAGAGCCGGCAGAGACGCGAGCCAGCTGCTAGCGGGAGCCACCGGCCTCGCCACGCAGCCAGCAGCCTCCTGGGCTGTGCCGCGATCCTGGCTGTTCTGAAGCGCCCGTGGTGACCGCTGGGTTGGGTCCAACCAGCGCAGCGCTTAGCATCTCACCTCCTGCCTCGCCTCGGAGGAAACGAGAAACAGCCGCCTGGAGACATCCCCCCGCCCGCCACGTCCTCCCCTGCCCCAGAGCCCACCCTGGCCCCAGGCAGCAGCAGGGACCGGGGATGCAGCGCGGGGCTGCCTTTGCCCAAGGCTGCTGCTGCCTTGACCGGCGAGCAGGTGGGGAGAGGGGGCCCCTGGTGAGATCCAGCCTCGCGGATGCAGAGGCCGGACTGTCCCGAGCTGGACCAAGGGGTCCCTGGGACTCTGCCCTGGGGCTCCGTGCAGACAGCCCTTGGAGCCAGCTCTCGGGGCGGTTTAGTGAAAGAAACGACACCTGGTGCTGTGTCATGCACTTTGCCGCTTCTTTGCTCAGCATCCACACAACGGGCTGTGGTGAAAAACTCCATACCTAAGCGGCAAAGCCCCAAGCAGCACACTGGTTTGTGTCAGGGCTTTTCTTTCGTTAGGGGAGGAGGAGGTTTGTAGTCACATTCCACTGAGTGAGGCAGAACAGGAGATGAGGTAATACATGCTGGCAGGTAATTGTTTTATGTGTAACACGTCTCAGTGCTAAATCAGGCTGGTAAAAAGTTATCCTTTAAAAATATTCTATTGGGAAAGTTCAACAAAGCCATATTCATAACTGAACTGCATGATAGGTATTGACTAAGCATGCTGTGAACCTGAAATACCTGAAAACAACCGAGTCAGACCGATCATATTTCAAATCTCTTAATGAACAACTTACGTGGTCAAGAAATGAGTAAAAATGCCCAGGATTCCCACCCCTAAATGCTCCTGAATAAATCTTTCTAACTTTGATTTCTGGAGTGAACTATACCTTTCTTTAAGTTTGCTCTCAGATTCCTTCAGCTTGGTTTTCAAATGCCGAACTGTCACTTCCTTCTGCTGCAGAGGAGTCAGGTACTGCTCTGGATTTTGTGGCTTAATGCTGTGATTGTCACCACAAGAATTGTATCTCCCTGATCGCCTGAAAAGAAGAAAACCCAAACCATCACATAACCTTAGTCACAGTTCTTCAGTCCTGCCAAAAAAACCCCAACAACCCCATGGCACTGACTGACACAGAGCGTGGCTCACGTGGGGCTCCGCACACAGGACTGCCCCTGGCTAACCAAAGTGTTTGAGGAAACAGCTGCCTTGTGGCTACGTGCAGAATTTACTGTTTATCGCACTTGGTTTCAGTGCCATTGTGCCAAAAGAGGCACCTAACTGTAAGAGTTATCCTGGGTGAGGCTGGGTGAGGCTCTGAGCAGGGAGGTGTCCCTGCCCACGGCCAGGGGGTGGAATCGATGATCTCCAAGGTCCTTTCCAGCCCAAATCATTCTGTGATTCCATAAAATCCCCAGCCATCCCTCACCCGCAGCGGGCGGCGTGCCCTGGAGCAGGGCGGGTGGCCAGGGCACCCCGGGCAGATGTGGCCAGGCGAGGCCATGCTCTCCCCAGTGCGAAAGGACCCTTAGAGGAAAAAACCAGCAAACCCCCATGAGAATTGACGGCATGAAACCAGGTGAGAGAGCCTGCCTTGGCGTGAGAGTCAACAGCAGTGGGCTGTGACTAAAAGTGACCTTGAGTGTCACCGTGCTGAGACAATAAACCTTTCCCAGGGGATGGGGAGCCCTGTCAACTGTTGAGCCACCAACACGAGGAGTGACACCTCTGCTGAGGATCCAGGTGACCTGCTGGGCAACCCCACAGCCCGTCCCGCACCACGGGCAGAGCAGGCGAGTCGGGTGCTGAGCAGCTGAGACAAGGACTTGCCTCATCACCGGGCTGCTGTCACTGCCTTTGTAGGAGCCCGAGTTGCTGCTGCTGGCCGAGGAAGCCCTGTAGCTCTGGTGGATGCTCGCAGGGCTCAGCTGGTTTCTGCACAGCGCTGACAGAGGGTCCTTCTCCCGGGACGCAGGGGGGCTGGCTCCCGACTTGCAGGATGAGGATCCATTGTTCCGACCATGAGGGCCACGGCTGGAGGGGAACCAAGATGGTTAAGTCATACTGGATTGTCCTCACCATGCAACCCGTTATGTGTCTTGTTTTACACATAGAGTTGTCTAAACACCGAACCAGACAGATAACTGAGTAGCTGGAGAGAAAGCCAGCCCTGAAGCCCTCAGCCCCTGCGTGTTCCTTCCCTGACTGCGGGGCCCTCGGTCTGAATTACGGTGTTAGGGAAACCTCAGACACCTTCACATTTCCCTGTGGACAGCACAGTTCCCAGAGACTCCATCAGATTGTCCCCGACCCCAGAACCCCTGACTGCTCAGTATCGAGCGGGCTGCAGCCCGGACCAGCACCAGAGGAACCCATCTGGGCTTTCCCCAGCCAGGCTGCGCAGGGTTGCCCATGGTAAGATTGCTTTCACGCTGCTCAGCCAGCAGCCCGAGGGACCGCAGCGTGCAGTGAGAATAGACTGTGTCTGAGCCGCTGTTCTTCCCTGCCCTGGGCACGCTGGGCTCTTCCGCTGTCGCTGTCAGCCCTTCATCTGCTGGACACGGCTGGACCCCCGCTGAGAGCAGGCTGAAACGGCACTGAAACACCCAAAGGCAAGCACAGCCTTCTCTTCCTTCCTTCCAGTTTCCCCCATGCATATCTGCCCTTCTTTTCCCACTTTTTGTTAAACAATCTGACTGGCAGCCTGTGCTGGAAAGCGACCCGTGCCTGCTCTGCCCGCAGCCGCCCGGGGCCGGGTGCTCTGAGGATGGCTTCTCCCGGGCTGTGCTCCCCGCTTGCTCACTTGCTTTGTGCTGCTGCGCTGCTGCCTTCATCCTCCCACGGAAACTGCTCTTCTAAACTCTAATGAAAGGGCAGGTTTCACAAAAATACAGGAAAAAGGCAAATCCAGCCAGGAAAAGAGAAGGCTTGAACGTAAAAAATGTAAATACCGCAGAATTATAAAGCAGAATCTCTTCTTAAAATTGTCTGACTTGGTTTCCTCCCTCCTCTGAAAATGGAACAGTTTATAAGGAACAGATGGTTGGGTGGCTGCTGTGAACCTCCATCACGCTGCTGTGGTTTGGGTGATTTTATAATTATTTCACAATGAAGCGCAGGACTGTGGTTTGTGACAACACTGAAACCTTTCACAGCGAGTTAAGTCAAACCGCTAAGAAGGAACATCTCGCAAAGGAGACATCTCCCTCCTCTCTGTACAGCACAGCATCAGCGCTGGCGCGAGGCAGAACTTGCACAGCAATGCGCTGGAAGGAGCACTGGTACAGAACACTTCTGTCCCATTAAGTAGGTCAGTATACGCTGAAGTTATATTTAAATCCACAATAATACATAAAGTAATACACAATCTTACTGAAAGTAAGGTGATTTTAGGGTTTCATATTATACTTAGAACTGTTTTTTCGCAGATTTAATCTAGAGAGTGCTCAAGTAATGTTTATTGTTCTGACAGTCTCACGACACAGATATGAAACTGCTCATCAAGCATCACTCTGCCGATCTCTGCACACTGGGCACACTGCGACCCCGGAGAGGTCTGTGTGAATTCAGCACACGGGTACCCTGCTGCCGGTCCCAGCCTGCCTGCCAGCTCTTCACAAAGGGCAGGAAACAGCTCCTGTCAGTTTGAACTCTTTCCTCCCCCTCCAGAAAACGTGAGCAGCAGGGATGGCGTGGGCAGAGCACAGCGTGCGCAGCTCTGTCCCAGTGCAGGCCGTCTGGTTTTGCACTTCCCCCATGGCAGGGAGAAATCTTACAGAAACCTGCCATTAAAGGTTCATTTAGATGGACTATGATGGGTTTTCTATTTGCATATAGCTCTAGTTACATAAAGGCTGGGCAAGGGTGTTTAAGAAGAAAGTGCCAAAGGCAGTACAGTGTGCTCCTTCCTACACAACACAAGGTCGTGATCTGGAAAGGCACATGCCAAGCTGACAGTTTATTACAGAGAGAAAACAAAGTGATCAGATGGGAAGGTGAAGGTTAGCTGGTTGGGAGTATGGCTGTTAAGTAACGCACCCTGCTGCTTCCTCCTCCGCTCCAGCCGATGCTTTTTCTGCATTACCTGATTCTATCTCCCATACTTGTCATAAATAAATAACAAAAAACCACAAGTCAGCTGGTCTGGCATATTGGTAAGTTCTGTGCTCTGAATACAGCATTTTTTTTTCTTTCTTATATCACAGTTCTCATCAGTGTAAGTGCTGCCCCAGAACTGAGCATTACCCAAACTGTTTTAAACTCATAGTACTGGTGTTGTATGTCTCCCCTGACAGACCTTGCACGGCAGTCTATCTTTGCTCTAGCAACACTTGCAACATTCAGGAAAAACTGATTTGCTTACTTGCGAGAAAAAGAAGATCGTTTGCTTCCAGCAGCCGACATGTGGACTTCAGGCGCTGAAATACTGCCCGTGCTGCTTGAAGAGCTAAAATCGGCTTCACTCCCTGGAAAGGAAAAGGGAAGAGTGAAAACATGATGGAAATTATAACTCAAAGGCTGTTTTCAAAACAACAATGAATCACGAGCATCCTTCCTTTGTCTGTCCTGTGTGAATTTCAGAAGTTCCATGAGTTTCCAAACATCCCTGAGGACAAGCACTGGATCTGCTCCAGATTTTCGACATTTCTTCAGCACTGGCACCTCAACAAGAGCAGAGAAAAGCATTTGGACACAAAAGCCTCACGCTACAGAAGCCATTTTAGGATGTGGCTGGGAATGTTTGTTGTGACAACCTGTTTGCTTCCCCACAGCCACCAGCAGATGAACCGAGCTGCTCACGTGGCTCCCACAGGAGCGCGGCGGCAGGAGCACGCAGCTGGACCTGGAGATTTCTCCTGCTTTAAACCACACAGACATCCAGCATGCTGAGAGGAGAGCTGCCTCTGTCCTGGTTCCCGGGGTGATGTGCACACACAGGTATGTGTGTATGACTGCACAGGCTAACGGCGCACACACACGTCTCTCTGTACGTTTCTCGGCAGGCTTTCACGTGGCACTGAAGCGCTGTAAGGCAGTTCCAATAGCCTTAAAATAATCCAATAATCACGTGTGGCTCTCGAGGGCTTCTCAGATGCTAAGCACCTGCGTGATTACTGACTTTCTACGGATCACGGCTTTTCTTTTCCAAGCCCTGGCACACACAAGGAAAGCTGCTCTCATTTTGCCAGGGCCAGCAGCAGGCAGATGTACTATGGAAGTCTTATCATCTGGAAAAAACCCCACCCTTAAGTTAGGTCAGTCTCTCACTCAAATGGCAAATGTCCCAAGCCATGCCCAGGTCCCAAGCCACAGAGCCACAGGAATGGATGGTGACTTTCTCTGCGGGGATGGAAACAGCTTTCCAGCATCTCTAAGCAGCTGGGCGGGGGGACACCTCTCAGCCGAGAGTTTCTGGGCACCATCCCACGCACTCCCACGCACAGACCCCCCAGCCAGCGGCTGCAGCCTCACCACAAACCCCTTTTTTCTGTCTTTTCCACAAGGGGGAGATGCAGCTGCAGCCACCATCGTCCCCAGGGGCAGACAAACCTCCGAAATCCTTCGCAGGGCTGATGGGGAGGGCAGCTCGCACCCCTGAGCTGAGTTTCCGGGACCGGGAAAAGGCCTGGCCAGAGCCTGTCTGCACAGCCTGAAAGAGGATGACACAGCCAGCAACCATCCTCACCATCCAGCAACGCTTAGCAACCCGTCTGGTGCTGGAATTTAACCCAATACTTCCCGGTCCCCAGCAGGTCTGAGACCAGCCCCCTTTCTCTGTGCCTCTGGTTCAGCCTAGCCCAGAACAGTCCTCCTTTCAAAGCACTCAGAGGTAAGGCGTAGCTCTTCAAAAGGGTCGCTCAGGGACCCAGCTCCATCACCTCTCCCCAGCTCCACCCCCAGTGCAATGCCCCTGATAACCAGACCCTGGTCACGCCGCTGTGACCGCGCCAGGACCCAGCGCAGGTCTGCCGGGGAGGAGGGAGAGCGGCACAGCCGCTGGGCTTCAGAGGATTTCTATCCTGGCTGCAGATGTAGATGTCAGTGACACTCTCCCTGGGGAACTAAAATGACCGTGGGACACGATGTCTGAAGCTGCAACAGAGGTTTCCTGATAAACAAAACATTCCCATCTGCAAGACTACAGCACGCTCCGAACACTGTCTCCGTACTGCACCACTCCCAAAGCTGCTTTTCCAAACCAGACCCCAACAGGCAAACACATCGCACAGATCCCATACCTCCGGTGTTCGGCCCCCAAGAACATTTCTGCCTCTGTAAGACGCCAACAGCTTCCCAAAGCCAGGTCCTGGCTGCAGCACGGAGCACAGGAGCCCTAGCCGAGGCTCATCCCTGGTTAACCAGACCACATCACAATCAGGTCTCGCTATTGAAAGCATTTCCAGGAATCAAGGCTTAGGAATCGCCTCTCCCTGACCCGCCTGGCTCGCAGCACAGTGCTGGGGAGGGCTGCCGAGCTAGGCACTGACGGTAAGAGTCATCAGAGCCTGAGACGCAGCCGCCCCCAAGGCTGAGCTTCCTGAAAGGCTGAACTGCATCTGAGACCAAGAACTGGGTCTGCAAAGCAGGAATTAACCTTTCTGGCCCCAGTTCTGATAACAGCCACACACAAACTTAACACTGAGCACAGGAGACTATGTTTAAAATTAGGCGTGTGGCTATTTATAGGATCTTTGAGAACATTTGGTAAATTAAAGGGGTCACTGCTAGCAATGGTTCCAACTGTGTTAGTGATGTTCACGCTGGTTTTGTGTACAGCAGAGCTCGACAGCAGTGTTACTAGGAGACTTTAAAAAATACTTTCTCCCATTTGGTACACATCTCTAAGCAAAATAACATGGCATCTACCCATAAAATATCAATTGCAACATATTCTCCCAGGTAACGTGACTTCTATCTTGCAAACATCTTAACAAAGAGGTGAAAGCCTTTGTCCAGCAGCACTGCGGGCAGAGCTGAACATGGCCTCTCATCCCTCCTAGTGCCATTCCCCAGGCTGTGACAATGCCACACATGTGAGCCCCAGAACAGCCCACGGATTCAGCGTTAGCCATGATAAGAGGCTGACATTTCTCAGAAACATACTCTTTCGTCCTAAACAGCCATAACACTTGTTTAGCTCTGATCTGAGGCTTCCCCGTTAAGAGGACCATCTTATCCACCCCTTCCTGCGAAAGATGCTACACATTGAGCTGCCGGCTTCAGAGGGATGTCATCTGAAATTCATCCATATTTTTCCATGCTCCAGCTACTTGGTGTCACAGCACCAACTGCCTCCCCGCAGACGAGCCAGCTTGGGAACGTGCTCCGATGGGAATGCTCACGCTGCATGTACAGCACCCGATGCTGGGTCCCCCCCCCTCGCCTTGCAGCCCTCCCAGGAGCAGCACGGCCACACCGCGGGAGCAGAGCTGGGCACTGCTCTGTGCAACGGGAAGAACAACACAAGGATGGCCAACAAAGCACAAACAAATCTCCAGGATTGCTCCTTGCCTGGAATGGTGTCTAAGCAGCAGGAGTGAAATCACGCAGTGCCTCGTGCCATCCCTGCATTTTACTGCAAATGTCAGGGCAGGATCGAGCAGAGGGAGAGGGAGCTGCCTGTGCAAGGGCCAGTATGCCTCCAGCTGGCACCGTGCCCCTTCATCCCACTCGTGCCGTGCCGCCACCGCGCCGACATTGTGGGCATAGCAGAGCCCCCCTTTAACTCTGCTCTTCGCACCGCCTCAGCCACAGTGCAGGACAATGACCCACTGCAGTGACCGTGCCGCACGCTGCAGTCACAGCCTTTGCAGGTAGAGCAGCCCAGGTACATTGGGCCAGCCAGGACAGTGTGCGAGCACAGACATACCATGTCAGGTATGTATGTACGGTTATAGAGACAGTACATCCATTTCTTACCCAGAGCCACACAATCACCCCACATGCACACCTGGACTATGGCATCCCCCTCTGCTATTCCCAGCCATTGCACATGGTTGGATGCCTTGTCATGCGGTCTGCTGGCCTGGATGTTAAAATTTTGCCTGCACTTTAGCATCTCATCTTTTTCCTCCTATAAGAATAAAGCTCAGACTTTCTTGTGTGCTTTTTATTGTCCATTTTCTATCTAAGTGGAGAAAATTTGCTATCTAAAGATTAAAATATTGAAAGAAGGAAAAGGTTCAAGTGAGATCTGTGACAGGAACACGGCAGCTGAGCAGCAGAACTGGATTCCCAAAACTCAGGATGCACATGAGCTTATTGAAATTTAATCTTTTGCTGCAAGTCTTTCCTATTTGCAACTTCGCCACTGTTTCATAGCTGCCACAGTATGTAAACCACAGAGCTTACCTATCTTCTGACACCACAGACATGACCTGTCTCTATATAGATCACTCTTGATGTTAGGTTTTGCATATAGTCACCCAGTGACACAAGGCTGCAAATAAAACAGTGCTGACAGAGACAGCTTGTCCTCAAAATGTAAAGCACTTAAATCTGCTGAGCTTCCTTGCCTTCAAAAGCATCCTGTTGTACAGCAGAGAGACCAAAGCATGCAAAATATGTGCTCACCACTCTGGTGCAGCAGCTAGAGGAACATTTGGCATGCTGTATCTGCAGATAGCTCTACTTGGAGACCCCAGGGGAAGAGATGGAGCCTGAGTGTGCAAAAAACTCCAGCAAAGCCATTAGGAGCAGCTGGAAAAGTCGAGAGAGTTCAGCTGTAATGCCCACTCTGAAAGGACCTCTATTTTTAAGAGATTTGGTTTCATTTATCTATAAAGATTTAACTCACAGCCACATGTCTAGTTCCAATATTTAACAGCATAAGCAATACATGTCCACAAAACACTAATGATGCTGCTTGTCTATTTAACATGTGGTTGGTCCTGCAAGATTGTTTTTGTACATCACAAGCAATCTGGGAAAGAAAACCATGCTGCTCACATGCACTGACAAACATAAGAAAAAGAAGCTGCAAAGAAGTGATGAAGTCTTGCTTTAGCATTTCAGGCTTTCTTCAGATAACACCATCAGCAATGACCCACATCGAGGGCAAAGTCTCCCCGTGGGAAATGTCCTCAATTCACAGTCTCAAGCCCACAGCTGACAGTGGTTTGGTTCCATCGGTGAGACTCTTATCTTGGACTCACTATTATATTTCACACCAAACAGCCGCTGGGTAAAAGCAGATATAATCCTGGGAGCAAGGAACGGGACACAGAACTCCTCCCCATGTGGACTGCGCGAGTCTTTGGGTGACACGAGCTACTCCCCCATGCCCTGCCTCTGCCCGTGTCCCATCCTCTCCACTGCCACCAGGTCTAGAGCCAGTGTCTTATCTTGGACTCACTATTATATTTCACACCAAACAGCCGCTGGGTAAAAGCAGATATAATCCTGGGAGCAAGGAACGGGACACAGAACTCCTCCCCATGTGGACTGCGCGAGTCTTTGGGTGACA